GCTTCAGCAACTACGAGCAAATTATGAGTGGAAATGCGTTCTTAGACCATGTTGAGACGAGCTCGCGGACAGAAAACACTGTCTAATGCGTTGCGATCGATGAATTGGATTTTGTTTCGAGAGACTTGCCAATTAGACATAGGTGCTAGTGGAGCCTGATTCTCTGATTCTGACATTGGACATTGGACCTGTTCCTGTATTGATTACCTATGTCACCAGGGAGCCACACACCGGCTCAAATGTTTGTGTTTGCTCTGTACAGACACAGAACATATTTTTTCCCCATTTAACCTCTTTAGACAGGATCCTTTCAATCTAGACATATAAAATTTGTTAATGCAGTAAGACTGCTTAGCGTTCATTTATCATGGGCGATACCGTTCCATAAACAACTGTACACGACGTGAAGCCTATTTCCCATGTCTCCAACCTTGATATGGGCCCACCGAATGATAGTTTTGTGGTGTACATGTTTGCAGTGTGCATACCCGCTTTGCCAAAATTGTGTATTCTGGTTTGTAAATTTGAGCTATCCGATCAAACATTGGAATTTGCAAACTTCTGTGTCACTTACTTTGTTCAAAATTGAAATAAAATGTTTTATATTTCTTTACTGGGCTTATGGCGCTGGCTTCCTTCGTCACCAATACAGCTTTTTGAACACCAGAACATCATTACATTCTCTGTGAACATGTCAGCCGTGTAATTTCATTTAAATACTTCCAGTTTGACACACCAAGCAAACACATTATATTTATAGTGCTCTGAAATACATCACCACCGTTGATTTGATTTGCTATATGGAACAAGGCGCCTTTGGAAGCCATACGAACGGATATAATTTAATAAAGACCCTTCGAAACGTATCCAAAAATACTTTATCCTTCAAAGCATCTCGCTGCCATCAAAGTGACAGATTCTTCAATAAAACAAATGCTTTTGTGAAATAAGAATTGCATTTAATTGCTACATACATGCGTTTAACTTCGTAAATAGAATAATTTTCAAAGAAGAGTAGTTCTATAATGATCATATACAAATGATTTTGCCTTCCAAGGTTCGGGAAACATATTGAAAGCTCACACTGGATGTCACATAGCATACACAGTATAAAGCCACCATGCAAAGATTAGAATGCATTTAGTTTGGTGCCCAGAAGCAAATTAGTTATTTTAGCTGAGAATGGGATATGTGCAGACTGATAGGGTTAAGATGTACGGGAATGAGGGAAGAAAGACTGAAGATGAAGAATATATGTTCTGCCGTTTGTGAATAATAATAATCTTTATTTGCACTGAAAAGGCCACAGGCCTATAGTACATTAAGTTATGTTACATTTGAGAGGAATTTAGATCGGGTAATCAAAGCATAGTAAATGAACATTGAAATATTTTGTAGAAGAACTGGTTTTTTACTACTATTTTATCACATTTGAATGGACATAGTAATATCTTTTAATATATTTGGTTGGCAACCAGTCATAAAATGGACATATTAGGAGGAAATGTAATTCAATTTCTATTTCGTTTAAATTACAAAGTGTACATTATCTATGTTCTCTTTTTACATTCATATATCTGCCTCTTTCAAACAACGAATCATGAGAAGAACATCTGAATCGTGCCAGTGCTATTCTAAACTTTTTAACATTAACACAGGATAGATATGACTCAAGTACTATGGCATTTTTAAACAATGAATAATACATGCCGTTTGTGAATATATAACATCAACACCAGAAATGAACCATTAAATCCTCCGAATCAGATTCCATTGTGCACAATAGGATGTCATGGTAAGGTCATATTCTGAACAATATGTGATAAAGATTTTGTATTTCTTCTGTCATTCGCAGGAGGAGGGTAGGAATTTACCATCCGTACAAGGTTCTACCATGCGATTGTATGCACATATATGTATTGGCACGTCAGAGATATGGGTTCGATTTCCAATTGGTAGGAAGTGTAACACCTTGGCGCTTCTCTGGGTGCATGTTTGCTAAACACGCCACAAAACCAAACTCACGCATTGTTTAAGTACGCTGAACATGCCTAAAAGTATGCCCGGGATTTTCATTTAAAAACGACAGTGTCAGCTGTTGGTTTTGAATGTTAAATTACACATTAGATTTATTTAATTAAGTTGTTTATAACGTATGTGTTTGGGATTACACGTTTTGGTAAAAGAGATTCTAGTGTTTTTAGCTTTTGAGTTCCATCTGGTATTTGAACCCACACTCTCAGAGTGACGCACCTAATCGCCAGTACACAAAATCAATGATTACCCCACTCAGCCATCGCAGTTTCTGACCACAGGTGGTCAAGATCATGTTTTGGTATATTGTAAAACCGTGATTGTAATCCTTTGTTTATACTAGCACCTACTGCTGTATGTGTTCACACTTTTATCCAGTCGTTTACATGTCCGTCCACAACATCATCCCGTTGTATATATTTTTCGCGCTATGATTCACTGATGAATCACAGGTGTCCTTCTTAGCACAATGTGTGTTTTCAACAACCACTGGTTCATATGTTCACATAATTGTCCCCTGGTTTGTTCGTATAGACCATCATCCACTTGTTTGCTGGTTCACAATCCTAACCACTGGATACTTGCCAAGACCTCATTGTACATTTAACCCCTTTTCTTCCAACCTTTCCACGATCTTTTTCAAATTTTCGCTCTCTCTTTCTGGCCTATGGACACGTACTATATATTTTCTAAAATGGCTGAGACGCAAATCTACTCACTGACTCAGGAAGTCAGAGGCCCCCAAAATCATTTATAATGAGCTATACAAAATTCATTTGTTCTGAGTATTACTGTCAGGTCACCGTGGCCGCCGTCGATTTCAAAGACCGCTGTTACCACTGGAACATTGCCTGGTAGATCACAATGACATGGTAATATGAAACGAATCATCAATTTTTAAAGAAAGAAAGGCATTTTTCTTGTGATAGATCGATGAAAGCTCACACGGTATGTTTTGTCAGTTTGGTTTTATAAAAGGATAAGATTGAAATGTGTAAAAGTGTTTTTTTCCTAATCTTCCTGTCAGAAGCATCCGTTTCAATTCAGATAACGCATGCAACAGTCTGAACAATTGGACTTGTTTTAGGAACGAAAACGACAGATATTAATGATTGGGTTCGTTGCTGCCTCGTAATTTCAGGACAACGTGTAAACTTAATATGGTATTAAAGAACGAGAAAACTTGTGTCTTGTGTTCTGTAGAGCTCTGTCTTTGGCTTCACCATTCACTTCGAGAAGTAAATTCAGACATCATGCACTAGTTTTAAAGTGAAAACGTTTACAAATCATTGTATGTTCGATAAGCTGGTGACATGTTACACCCAAAAAGAGCTTCATGAAGTCGGGTTTGTTCAGAGCGTTTGTAACCAAACGAAGTTAAAGTGAATATAAGACACTAGTTCCGCGTTAGAAAAGTGACATTAACCGTACAAAATGAATTTGTTTTCAGAGAACTGGTGACAAGGTACAATTAACGGAACCTGCTTGAAGTCGCCTCTTCCAGACATCAGCTCCAAGGCGTCTTCAACCCATTTTTTTCATTGGAAGCATTTACAAGCTGAGTCAATAACGGAATCACAGACCGGAGCTAGAAGAGTAATAATGTAATTTCCAGATCACTACCTTACACACAAACGTGCTCTCAAGGAACGACTGACGCAATGAATATAATGACACACGCTGATCATTAGCCAATGTCCTGGGAAACACTGTGCAAATGTGCACCAATTCAGGTGTGGCAAGTGACATATTAAAAGCTGGAGAAAAAGCTTACAAGATACACTGCCTGTCCGGAAAGTGAGGAACAATGCTTCTGTGACGTGTACATAAGCTAGAAAGGAGAACGAGAACTTTAATGATTAATGATCAGCATGATAAAGGTTGCCTAAAGAGGTCATGTATTGATTCCCCGAAGCATGATGCACAAACAATTTGTTTGGTTATTTTGACCACGGTAATTCCACTCCGGAATGGATGTCACCAAATCTATGTTCTTGATTCGATGGCGGATCAAATCTCCTGACTAATATCGTATTGCACTGGTTTTCGGGATGGAAAAAACGAAATGTTGTTTCTTCACGAATGGTGTCTGGTACATGCTGTGCAAAATCGACAAGAACGATTTTAGCGTGGGGCAGAATGTGAAATAGTGAATTGTTAATGGTTATTTTCCCAGTGTGCGACAGCAACGCAGCTACTTTAGAACCATAAACATTTCCTGATTCTGAGGTAATGAGGGATGTTGACAAAGTTCGTTTTGATGAATAGGACAAGTTCACGGTGTCACTTCTCGTATAAGGATTGAATCATACAGCTGGAACGTCAGGGCTTTGTCTCAAGAGATTACAAGGGTTTGATGATATTTCATTTGAAATCCTTTCACCAGAAGCTGATACAACGTCTAATATTTGGATACTACCTCGACAATGGCCACATGTACACCGGCGTCATATCCTACAGCTCATCCACAGTGTATGGTTTGAAAACTCGATGAGTAAAACTGAACCACCAATAACATATATTACTTCTCGGAGTCAGAGGTTTGAATACAACATCGGTGCTGAACAAATGTAAACCACTATAAACATCAATTCAGAGTGTGGGGTTTTACGACAACACCTTTGATGAAATATTGCCAAAGATGTTACCGCTCTCAGCGTCTACTAGCACTATTGGAGATCAAAGAAATTCATTTCAAATATACTGTTCATAGCGTGAGGTTTGGAAACACACAAGCCAATGATGAAAATTAAACCATCATTGCAATAACTTTTCAGTTCATAGTGTGAGGACACAATCGTTGATGGTATGTGATCCGGCAATCATATCACTATATGATCATAGTTTGTTTGTTTTTTGACATAGCACATTGGTAATAAGAAGTGAAGCGACATCAGCCCCTGTGACAAGGTATGTTTTCCAACTGGCGATATAGCGTGAACGATAGTTGTGTTAATCCTCCACGACTCAACTAACGTCAGCACGGTTGTTACAAGTGCAATGAAGTTTCTACACAGCTGCCTTCTTCTCTCCGTCCATCTCCACTTTGTCCTGCCTCTTCTTACGTGTAAGTAGTGTTTCGATAGTCACTGGTATTCCGTAGTTTGTTCCTAACTCTGACTCATCCTGGAGTTAACACAAGACAGACTTTAATATGGTTGGGTTTGTTGTTAAACGCCGCACTCAGCAATATTCCAGCTATTTGAGCGGTCTATAAATAAGCGTGTTTGGGCCAGACAATCTAGTGATCAACATCATCAGCATCGATCTACGCAATTGGGATACGATGTTTTGTGTCAGCCAGGTCAGCGAGCATGAGCACCCAGTCTCTTTAGTCGCCTCTTACTACAAGCATGGGTTCTGAAGACCAGTTCTAAACCGGATCAAAGCAGAAGCTAATTCCATATTAACAGCTCTTAAATATATTAATAAACACCGTAAATATAAACAATACATAATATTTTCCGATTCTCTTTCGTGTCTTCGGACTATTAAAAACCTTTCTTGTAAACATCCACTTTTATAAGAAATTATTTTATTGTATAATGAGCTTGCTACTGGCCAATGCGACATCGTCTTTTGTTGGTTACCCAGCCACGTTGGCATTTCTTGGAACACAATGGCCGATCTTGCTGCCAAGGCAGCACTGAACAAATCTGTGACGCCACTTCTCTGATTACAAAGCTGCTGTTAGATCTTATATCCGTGATCTGATGCCAAAGAAGTGGGACACCCAAGTGGGTATTAATAAATTACATGAAATAAAAGTCTATATTGGTTACACCTACTTGAGTTGTCAGTCCAGATTTGAAGAGGTCATCATGCGACGGTGTCGTTTTGGCCACACCAGATATCTACATGAATACCTATTGAAAGGTGAATATCCTCCGTTCTGCATCCTTTGTGATGAGAGAATCACGGTCAAGCATGTATTGCTTGACTGTGTTGAATATTCCATCACAAGGGATAGCTATTCTAAATCACGAACTATGAAGGATCGTTTTAATAATATCAGTTCTCATTTAGTTATTGCATTTTTAAAAGAATTAGATTTGTTAAATGATTTGTATAGGTAAGTTTTTTTATGATTGGAAGTTTGAATTAATAACTCAGATTGGTAGTGGCTGTATCCTCGAGGGGTTAAAGTACTGTAAAATTATTGTCCTCCTGAGAGGGTACGTAAGTCCGAAAACATTCCCAGTAAATTAAAATTCCACTTTTAATCGTAGAATAATTGTTATTTTACTATACGGCAAGATTGCTAAATTGCTGAATGGATGATGTAAATCCAGCTAGGGCCCATGCAGGAAGCAACTGTACTGTAAGTCCCCATGGTCCCTAGTATGGTGATCTACCTTCAGTTGTTAGCAAAATATAGCCTGTTTTTGCATTGTATTGTCATCTATAGTTAAACTGTTTTAGATCTAATTACTAGTTTTAAATTCGAATTTTTTATAATCTAGTTATTTTACTGTCCTTCGTTGACAGGTTTTTTACAATTTATCATTAATTACTATGTATAAAATTAATTGTTCTCGTCACGATATGGCTGAAATATTGCCGATGTGACGATACATTTTAACTCACTCACTCACTCTAAACCGGATCGTCACGGGTATGTTTGATATCAAGGCTAACCTAACGGAAATATACTGACTCACATATTCAAGTGTTCAGCCGAGAAAAGGTGGTTAAATACCATCATAACTTGGCAAACAAAAAGTTCATGAGCAAAAAACGGCGATCCTTTTGAAATCGGGATATAAAATAACTTGACCACCATACAAGATATGCAAAATATTGAAACTAGTAATTAATCACGTCAATACACAAAATATCCTTCATTGTCTTCCCCTCCATATCTGATTGACCTTTTCCCAAGAATACCTTTTCACCTGATTTTCTGAATGTGATCTTGAAGTAATTCTAATATTGCGGGCAACATTATCAGGCATTTACCTTAGAAACCCCCAGTAATTCTATAAACTTATAGCATAACTCAAGTTACAGGGATCACACATTGTCAATTTGACATGCACTTAAGATACAGTTCTACTGCAGTCTTTAACATAATAAAGCGTAATTACTAGTGACAGTGATGACAATGTCAATTGCGAATATTACAAGAAGGATTAATTTTAATCTGCAAGAAAAATAACTAATTTATGTGCGACACACAAACATGGGCCCATGTGCTACCAGGGCAACGGGTCGTCGTGCCAGAAATCGTATGTTGTAGGTTCGAATCCCAGTTTAGATCATTACAGCAGCACTCTATGCTCCTTGGTTTCACCAAATTAAAGTGGTCGACGGACAGGACCAACCGCACCAGACCTGCTGTCCTTCCATATCAAGATGACACGTCCTAATATAACTGATATGATGCTCAAAATGCAAATCAGCGTAAAACAAAACGTAGTCAGCCAATCTTCTTGAAGCCCCGCTGTCAGGTCAATAGGAGCCTACTAGAGGCGCGCGTAATGGTCATCTTATCTGGTTAGATTTAGGTTCTAGACAATGCAATTTTCTGATCATAATGCTTCGGGCGCATTTATCCTATTGCAACGCTACATTGCCTCGCCATTATAACATTCCGGATGTCCATTTCAACAAAGCTGACAGCCAGTTAGTTTAATCGATCCTTAACGCTAGATATCAGATGTATGTCCGTGGGCTTGTTTGTCCTATTTCACAGACAGTCAGTTGAGTCCCCAATTCCCAGAAGTGTTTGTTCAGCAATTGCGCTCATGGAGGTACGAGAACTATCGGTAAAGAATCATACATTAAGTGAGACGTGGTCGTACAGATACTTCTCACATAAATAGGTTGTTCTTGTGGCAAGGTTTGCAGTGTTGAATATGTCTTACTGTTTATTAGATTTACAATGTCAACTATTGATCATGGTTTGTAAAAACATGCGCAATGCATTGATACCTTTATGCATTCTGGACTTGAAGAGCGCAACCTGCTTACAAATTTCTACCACTCCCACCCACATCCCTTGAAATTGATCTGCACATTTAAAACATCAGATGGCTTGTAACGTAGTGGTATATAAAGATGAACGTATTGCAACAATATAACAACTACTTACTAACTATATAATTATATTCGAGAGCATGAATATGGTCAACAAAATTAATTTCTCTGCCAAACGCTGTATCCATGTTTGAACAGCTTCACCTCAATCGATGATAGGAGGGATGGAAAAACCATTATTGATTTGGGCTTTTGTTACAGTTTTAGTATGTCCCCAACACCATGTAAAAGCTGTTGTGTGTATTGCATACATGGGGGATCCAAATACATGGTACTGGTGTTGTCTGCGAATGTTGTCTCAAGAATGCATGAAATTGTGTGTGTCTTGCAGGGAACACGTTCAGTGATATGTAAAAAAACTGAAGGTCCAATGCAGTGCAGTCCTGTTGTTCTGGGACACCTTTCACCTAGAAACCTGTGAGAGTACATATACACATGAGCATTAACCAAGCAGTCCTGTTTATATGTGACAAGCATGAAACCTATACTTGTTAATGTATGTGCTTTGAAAACCAGCGGCCCATTCCGCGTATTTATATGGTAATTGTCACGTTTTACTCTGATTAGTACAAAGCCAAAACTTACATTGAAATTTGGCAACAATTTACTGATCTGAGAGGAATACACTAGACGTGCATATCAACGCTGCCGAAGGTATGGTCACCATGGCGACGCGACCAATCTGATTGTCACACAGTTCTCAAATAATGAATGTTATGATTGTGTGAAACACTTCTGGCGACCCCTTGCACGGATAGTATCTGTCAGTCTCCTCCTCGACCATGCTTTGAATTCTCAGCGTCGGAATCCTCAAAAAATTTCTTATGGAGTGCCGCTGTCAATCCCTGCAGATATTGAATAGGAGGGTCTCTATCTTGCACCTGATGTTCAAGATGTTCAATCGGGTTCATATCGGGGCTCCTTGCGGGCCATGGTAACGTTCCGAGAAAGGTGAGATCTACCGTTGCCATCCATGAAAATCGGACGACTGGCTAAGGGGTGGGCATGACAATGTGGCAGGTACGGCGGTACCCTTTATTGCCTGTTCGTAACGTTGACCATAAAGTGTACCGGATACTGTAATGAGATCGATCATACGAAAAAAACCGATACCATCACTGAACCACCACTAAATAGTTCAGCTCTATGGACCATTTCCTGGTGATATGGCTATTTACGACGTCTCCGTACGCGACTACGACTGCCAGTAACGTGTGAAAGATAGGCCAACGAACTCACTGCCATGTCCTGAAGTCGTCTGCACCACAGACAGATGTCCCTGACTGCGCCTATCTGTGAGGAAGGGACGTCTGATCGGACGACGTTCTCTCAGGCCAGCAGCCCCAGCCTCCTACTGATGGCACTGGTGGAGAGATGGACGTCCCCTCTCAGTGGCCAGTGCAGTTTCACATGGGATTGCGTCTTGCCAAACAGCGAAAGGACGCAGTCATCACGGTTATTGTGTTTCCTCGGTCTTCCATGTCTTGGGCGATCTTATACTTCACCGGTAGCCACGTGCTTCGTTATAAGTCGACTAATATCAGTGTGGTTAAAGTTAAAATTAATACCGACGTCCCTACATCATGCATGTCAATAACGTGCATATTCTGAAAGTCTTTTTATGCTAGTTCTGTCAAGCTTTAAATCAGTTCAGAAAACTGTAATGCTCATCCTGCAACTATGCGGTGAGCTTGCCACCAATAGCTTTTGAGATTTTGCACGTCTTTGACATGCATGTGCATTTCATGACTGGGTATTATCACCTGCTTGGACAAAAATGTTAAAATTGCCCTTGCGGTCAGATGGTGCGTAATTAATGTTCATGCATATGTATGCACACGTGTTGTTAACCATTTCGTTTGCTGCTCACAGAGCAAAGGTACTTATCTATAAGCCCTTCAAAGGTATAATGAACTCAAGTATCGATCCATGCCCAACACTCAAACCACAGTGTGCCACAATACAGTGAGCCTCACTTCACAACTTTGAACATCAAACAGTGTAAACAGCTCACTGCTTGTTTAATCCCATACAGAGTTTGCGTGAATCTAGATCTGTCTGAGCAAATACAAAGAATATTGACATACTGGGTCTTTGCAAACTGCAGGTTTCATTATATGGTTAATATGAAGCACATGTGCACAGTCACTGCATCGACCGCCGCAGAACTATACGGCTCCATCAGACATTACGATATTGAGTTTGTGTGTTACTGTCCTCATGGGGAAGATATGTCCATCCTCATAAACTTAATGGCGTGTTGGTGCAACCATGTAATTCAACCATCGAGTAGTGTCGATGGGACTCTGGCCATCAGTTGATTAGCAATCGAGATTGAGAATCATATTGTGCAGTATTCACATGCTTAAACTTCAGATGCGTTCATGCTCAATATTTAGGTTGCGGAGGTCCCTAGATAAATCGATGGGGTTGCAAAGTTATTTGCAGGATCCAATTAACACTTTTATAACGGTACGGTCACATTACGGTTTGGTGTGGGTGGATGTTTCTCTCTCTCTCTCTCTCTCTCTCTCTCTCTCTCTCTCTCTCTCTCTCTCTCTCTCTCTCTCTCTCTCTCTCTCTCTCTCTCTGTGCGTGTGCCTGTGCGTGGGCGTGAGCACCGCTGAAATACAGATTTGTGTGTACATATAGGTGATACTAACTTGACAAATTTGGAATTCAAACCATGGTTATCGAATAATGGCACAATGCTTTAGGCGTTTATCCCGGTAACGAAACTCGTGAAGATCCAGATTAGAATTGGTCTTCAGCAACCAATATTTGTCGTACGCGCTGACTAAAGGTATCGGGTGGTCACGTCGCATCCCAATTGCATAGATAGATGCGCATGCTCTTGATAACTGGATTGTCTTTTCCAGACTTTTAATGTCTCTGTGCGTGATGCAAACGTCATGGAATAGTACTCGCCTTGCATTGTCCAAACACAAGGATTGGTGATGACTATGATGACCCGTCACATTTGACATGGAAGTATTTGCGTATTTCTTCATGACGTAGTGAGAGCATTTATTGCAGTCTAGTTATACAATGTTAAGTTGTTTTCTTTGATTGTTTTCACATAATTCATATTGTACATCCAAAGAGTCCTGGATCATATATTCGTTAATGAAGGGAAATAATGTGTTCACATTAAATATTTTCCAGTCCTCAGGAAGTAAGACGAAAGTTACAAATGAGTGTCGATCTTTGCTTGTATAACATTAATATACTCATGCCAATAACGCCCCCTCTCCAATAAAACAAATTGAAGGGGGTGACAACCATTATTGTCATGAGTATATTATCTTTGAATTGAAAAGTTGTAATGATTCATACAGGATACTGTCACAAGCGGGTGCAGGTTCCAGGTCAGGTCAAGCATCCTATCTTTATTCTTGGAATAATAGCAAAACGTTTTTGTTATGAATTGTATAACCAAATGGCGTCATATCCCCGCGTTGAATGTGATTCACGAGCATGAACATGGAAAGTAATTCTGCGTATTGCTGCGAAAACAAACTGCTAACAGTTCTTTTTTTCAGATGATTTAATTGTTTTCTCGCGAAGACGGTCATGAACTGCATTAACGATGTATCGGGTCTGGCGTTTTAGTGATAACAGAAAAGACATGAAAGCACAGGTCAATCGGGAGTGACTACACTTTTATAACACATGGACTGCCAGACAGTATGAGCTAATTGACTCAAGCTGGCTTCAGTGACCATTTGCTGGCGCTTAGACATATATTTGTTGCATTAACAGATGGAACGTTGGGCACGTCCCGGCTATCTCTATTTCAGACTACATGACAGAATGGTGCTCTATGAGTGTGCTAGATATGATGGACCGTCCAATCTCAGCAGGGAGGCTGCGTCTCACGTACGAGAATGAACGATACCGGAAGGACATGGCTTGCACGATGTCCATCCGGACACCTGCTGACCATCACCTGATGGTCAGGTTTCTTGACATGGAGATCGAAGGGTTCATGTCGGAGGGCTGTGAGTCAGATTACTTGATCCTCTATGATGGTCCGGATGACAAGAGTCCTTCTATGGATAATCACAAATATGTTGAGCAATATACAAGTGAGTCTGAAGTTCCTTGTTTTACTTTCATTTTTACTTTTTCATTTAATTCCAGCTTTATCACCACGGTTGAGTCCAGAATAGGTTTTCACATGTTGTTGCAATGAACCATTTCCGTTTGTGACACTTCTTTAAATTCAATCCACATTCCATTGCAGTATGAATATTTCAATTACTGTTTTTTCAATTTTCAGTTTTCCAAGATAGAAACCCATCATTTCTATGTATTACTTCGCATTCTGCTGGCCGTTAATTCTTATCATCATCCCTGTTAAGGATTGCACGATCACGAATTGTGACATCATTCATTGTTTGACAATGTTCAGTATGACGACATATGTTTCTCAATTCCTGGTGTCCCCCTGCCGTGATATTGCTGGAATATTGCTAAAAGCGGCGTAAAACCAAACTCACTAACATATATTTTTCACAGTTGCTGTAGTACATGTAGGAGACATCACTTTGTCGACTTCTCCACGATTAATAGACAGTAACAGCTAAATAACAGATTCATGTCCATTATCAGATAAAAAAAAAAGGTTTGATCAATCGCCCACTTTGATATGGTTTAGAATTTAATTTAATAACGAATATTACCAACAACTGAAAACAAATGCCAGGTTAAACAAATTCAGGGTTACGACATTCAAGGCATCAGTAAACTGTTCAAAAGGATATTTTGGCACGACATCTGGATGCCATAAATTTGACCCATCAGTATGTCGGGAGTAATACTCTGTTTTGACATACTCCACCGTACAATGGACTTTGGAATTGATTTGTGTCGCTGTTATTTATCTTCCAATAAAAACAATGACGCAATGAGTGTTCAAAATATTATTGTTCGTAGCAACCATGCTACATATCGTTCAATATCACGACTGACTGCAGGGCACAAATGTCCAGTATCATTGCACTTACATAGTCCTATCAGATTTCTCCACATGATGTTTTATAACTGTAAAAAGGAAATTTATCAGGATTGGGAAGGGATAGAATGACACGTGACATTATTCATCATAAAGCTAAGACAGAATAATCCGACAAATTTACTTAAAACCACCATTATTATACCTAATCCTGATTAACGCAAGATGTTATTTCAGCGTTATGTCTTATAAGAAAACCAATGCTAGAGGCCCCTTCAGAACAGGACGTGACATTTTGCGACAACATTTATGGACAAGGTGCTATGTAATTACATGACTGCAAAATGTGCGGAAGAGCAGCGTGTGCGTGCGTGTGTTTGTACATGTTTCTTTTCCAAACGTTGTAACTTTTGGAAAAATCTCTTGTTTGCTTCAGAAACTCCAATAACAAACAAATTATGTGGGTCTCTCACTCCTCGTGCAACGTTTGTCACCACCGGCGATGTCGTCACGTTTGTGTTCCACAGCGACTTAACAATTGAATACAGAGGATTTGACCTCATTTTTACTGCATTCCATACTGGTGAGATTTACAGTCGGTGCCATTGAAAGTATATTTTTAGTGATAAAGATAAAATGACGTTGTTTGGAAGTGAATGATCCTCTTGTCCTGTCTGCGAATCCTTCAAATCACGATCATTCAAACAACAATTCGATATCCAAGGTTATGTCGCTTCAGTGTGTTAGAATCCGCTTTTCGTGTGTTGGAGTCCTTCTGATTACCACCGTTCACAATATAATCCTCTAAGTAGTATTGCAAACATTTTTGTGGAAGGATTCCATGATCATGGTTCGAATCTCTAATTATCCCTAATTGTTTTCCTTGGTTTGTCTGTACCATGTACAGATAGCAAACGCCCGGAACCTGCATGACTAATGGATGTCCCTCACGTCAGGTTTACTCGCCATTTTATGACTAAAATTCTGCTCGAAACGACGTCAAATCGAAATAGTTCAGTCGCAACAATATTTACTAACGATGTTCGCCATACACTAGAAAAGTACCTGTTTCAAACCTGAATTTTGTAACCTTGTGCATTGTCAGATTATTTAAATTTTGAACTGCACTCAACCTCGGTACGCATGTACATCGTCATATGAGCGAAATATTCTTAAACGTTAAACCCCATTTTACCTCACCTCAATCCCGGTCTGGCTGTTGCAGCGACAAATCTGGAGTTTTTCTGACAGGGACATTGAGCACAAATTCTTTGGTTTTCTGTCATCACTGGAAAACGTCCTCATCTTATTTTATCTTTTTCGTCTTGTGAGCTGTGGTTTGTCTTGGAACATAGGACATGATTATCATAATAATAATTATAACTACTAATAGTAGTCTGATGAAGCAGGTAAGGAGCGTGTGTCCGGAGAGAGGGACACGACAATGGGTCTATGCCCAGGAACCTGTATCTCCATGCTCGTATGTTTCGTAGTTGCGATACAATAATATACATTACAATTGGTCTTCTGCGGCGACTTACAGGAGTTGGTTGATGCATGTCATCAAGTCCCGAGCAGTGTTGCGTTCTCTGGTCCACACCCGAGTATTTTACATGCCTTCATCTTGAAGCTTCGGTATCGTTAAGCTTGACAATAAACAACACACATGTAAACAATACACGTTTCAATGTTTATTTTGTAAAGTTAGTTTGTTACTACTCTTTTAGGCAAATGTGACACTACCGAGTTCAGATGTGACAACAAACGTTGCATCAACACCAGCCTCCACTGTGACGACTTCAACAACTGTGGCGACTACAGCGACTGGTGCGGCCCCAGCACCATCCTCATGGTCCTCATCATCGTCATCTGTGTCACAGTCTTCATCCTCCTCGTCTCGTCAGTCATCAGATGTGCATGTAAAGAAAAGGTTCGCAAGTTTTCAAAGGTAATGTCTCCTTGTGTATGTTTGCTGTTCAATGCCCCGATCAAATGTATTGCAGGCATATGATGACAGACAGTAATTGAGCAATATTTACAAACAAACCAGTCACAGATATCATGCGCAACGTTCCATGCAATCGCGATACACGCAAGTTACTGAGTCTTACCATCCGGGGCGGTGAGGTAGCCTAATAGGGTAAAGCGTTCGCCCCGTCACGCTGAATATTGACACAAGATTCACTCACTCACTCCTTAGCATTCAATCTATTTAGTCGCCTCATACGATAATTTTTGGTCGCTTCTCTGTGTGTTTGGATGTATCTTTTGAGAAATGGGCACAATATACACAACATGATTGATTACTAAACGTAACATATCAACCATTAAAAGTCCTGATGCTGGTTTAAGGTTGTAAATCGCGATCGCCATCATAACAGCATAATGTTTAATTGCAGGCAAAACATTTCCACAGATACGCACCAATAACATTGAACATTGAATAATTTATGTCTGTATAAAGGTCATTGGCCCGTGTGCAATAAATGCAACGTGATGTGTGATATATAGACAGCAATATGTGCGCATCAAATCGATTTTTTAATGAAAATATGTAATATTGCGATATCACAGTTTCACTGTTGCTTGGGGTTGCGAAATTAGCCGAGTGAATCTCATTCATTGTACACTGCATATTTCAATGTTCTGAGTGGGTGGGGCTCATGTATTGCCCACATGGCGTGAGTGAACTCGTTGTAGCGTGTAGTCTTGGGATAAATTCTTCATTTGTCCTGTACCATCTTGGAATATTCATTTACCATCTTGGAATATTCATTTATCAACTTGGAATATTCATGTACCATCTTGGAATATTCACTTACCAACTTGGAATATGCATTTACCATCTTGGAATATTCATTTACCATCTTGGAATATTCATTTACCATCTTGGAATATTTATTTACCAACTTGGAATATTCATTTACCATCTTGGAATATTCCCACATTACAGGATTGTATAAAACCTTTTATCGCATGTGTACAGCCTTTGCTATCGGAAAGGAATACCCACACCGACGATCCAATTTGAATACTTTACACTTGATGATCTTTTGCAACCCATGCTTGTAATCTGAGAAATTATCAGTGCAATAGACGGGATTCAGTTGGTTATTTGATTTATTGTCCGTTGTTCAGCAATATTCCAGCTATTTGGCGGCCCTCTGTCAATAATCGAGTGGTTGACATTATGAGCACAACTGGGATACGATGGCATGTGTCAACCATGTCAACCAGCCTGACGTATCCCATTAGTCGCCTCTTAGTCAAGCATGGATTGCTGAAGACCAATACTAACCCGGATCTTCACGGGTCGGGTTCCAATGAAATAGAAGCGTACTCAAAGGACTTGCGATTATTTTACAACGCGATAAAACCTCATCGCGTGTCGTATGATGAACCTTTACGTTCAATGAAACGATGTTTTGCATTTTTATATTGCATATGCAAAACAAAGCTGAGACTTTTATTGATACGATCCGTATCACGGCCTAAGCTATTGTAAATTTCTCAATCATTATCCTCAGAGCATTTGACTCTGGCGTATGTACAATGTAGAATTATGCCATACAAAATGTTAAGTTGCCGTCACCACAATAATAAAATATGTCTGGCAATAAAATTAATGTTGGGAAGATTTAAACCAAGAAAAAGATTGCACCTTGTCGCTTTCGTATGTTAATGTTTGCTTAATGTATGCTTTTGGTTCCAAAACTCAATTTACCGGGTTAAATCAGCAACCAGGTCTACATCGAGCATCCTTCCCTCTCATAGTTTTGCCTCTCTTTACTTCCATTCCTTTGTTTTTGCAGAGCGGATCATCGGGGGCTGATAATGACCTCACCACGACCAGTACGGGCATGCGCGTGTCTTCCTTCCGGGGTCTCTCAGGACGTAGGTCATCAAGCAGTTCGAACTTGTCTTCAGAGCCTCTTGCACAGCAGGAACCGCTCCTGAATGAAAGTCAAAGTAGTGTTTGACACAGACGGGCCCGTACTTAAACAGGAAGACTCTTCCGCTGCGTTGTGTGAATGTTGTGAAGCGAGTGTCACGTGAAGACCTGTCACTACCAATCTTGAGAGATTCAGCTATATTTCTTTACCCGGCCCCATTGAATTGGAAATTGACATTTGACACACAAAATGGACCAACATAGATGGTACTCCATTTGGGTGTACCTTAATGGCGTTCAGAATTGCCATGGTGTGTGAAATACATGTGCAGCCTATATTATTTACATTCGGAACTGACTGTGTACAGCTGGTTAGGAGATGCACATTATCTCACTCATTCCGAGAATTCCTAGGCATTCATTTTGATTGACTGATTAAAGGGTTAACTTTGGGCAACAAGATGTACAAGGTGTCAAATCTCACGCGGAGAAATATTCGTGAATGGTGAAGAATTGACTAAAATGAGATTCCACCCTACACTTCAAACGAGATCGATGCCCCTTCCTTATGACACAGCCAAGCCTGATTTCACTCGGTAACGTGTGGTTACCCCTAATGTCATGTTCCTGTTGGTACACGTCACTCGGGAACGTTAAGCGTCAATTTGTGAGAACACCACCGAAAAACAAGTAATTGTATTTCAAGTCAAAAGCGTGTTTTGTACGCCATGGCAAAAAAATTAGGTTAGATTATAAACTGAATGAACACATGGTTGTGAAAAGAACTGGAGTGAAATGATTTGTTTTGGCACAGCCTTTGTGTGATCGATGAATCGATGAATGGAGTTCCAATGCCAAGATGCTTTTCGTCACTCAACGTGGAGTATCCATTGGATAATTCAAGTGATGTAAGATGTACACATCACAACAAGCCCAATATGTGATTTTAATACAAGTTATATATGACGGAAGATCAAGCTCTGAGAATATTCTTCACATGATTCACTCGACCAGTTGTGATTAAAGAGAAAATGGACTGAAACCAGATGAGGAATAAGTGAAAATATATTCGATACATTTTCACTGGGTATTACAATTTTGCTTTATGCTGATAAAAAAATTCGTTTATTTATTTCATCGTTTTCACTGTCAGCAAATTGATCAATGGCAACACGCACGCAACGTTGCAAAGAACTGAAATGACGTCATCCATTGTTCATGACACAACAGACTGTTTTGTGTGACGTCGTTTTGATAATAGGTTGTCGGACAACATCTGTGAAAAAAACATATTTTCCAGTATATACTCCTAGAATGATAAACAGAACAAACAAGACGGAATTACGCATTACGGACATCTGGCCTAGGGAAATAACAGGAACGAACCTCCTCCAGCACCAAGGCTTAATATGAATTCACTTGTTGGCAGATTATTCTTAGTAGCCTATGACCTTCATTCTAATCCTAATTCAGATTTTGGAATATCAAATGCATCAGCCTATTTAGATGTTTTATCACTGATTCCATCAGGATAGACTACTGACTATCGAAACGCGATAACAAGTGTTCACGATGGCGGACTGGAATCAAATTTCGTTGTCAATATTGTATTCTGTTCACGGTTGACATTCAGTTCTTAGGACATACAAAGAACAACAAGTTGTCCCATTCATTACACATAAAAACTCAAATACAGCGAAACTCCAACAACACCGACAGCAACGTGCCGAATGTATATCCAACCTAATCGTCCAGGGTTTTAGGTGATCCGATTAACGAATTCTACGTGAGACGTGAACTGGTGACGTTCTAAAGACGTTCCTGACTAACGGGTTGACGTTTTCACAGTCATGTATGTACTTATAAGTGGCATTGTGGTAGCCTGGGAGTTTGCGATTCAGCGTGTCACGCTGAAGAGTCCGGTTGATTCCCCACATTGGTACAATGTGATAAGCCCAGTCCTGATGTCCCCCGCCGTATTATTCCTGGAAGCGGCGTAAACCATTCTCACTCACTGTACGTATAACCGCTAGTTCTTCACAGAATGATAATAAAAACATATCAGCAACTTACGTCAGTAACCGACCGCTGACCAATTACTGGATATTTTGTTTGGGACGGGCTTTTTTCACCCCTACAAAATACATATCTTTCGCTGCAATTTTCGTCCGGAGATCAAATTTTGCAAGGCTTCTACTGAACAACGATATTTTTTGTAAAACCTTAGGTATTAATTATGTTCCCGACTTTTCTTGAATAAACTTTATCTAAACTATTGCAATCCCAAATGATCGGTCCATATGGAGTGAAGTGTAACTACTCATTTCAATATTAAGCAATTGTATGTTCAGTATGATGATGTCGACAGGACATGTGAATTAAGACATTAAGTGCTACAACTGGAAAAAGACGCCGTGTTTTATTGATGAACCGCCTGCTTATGACTTTATTATATATAAAAGTGTTGAAGATGACAAGTATGTAGTCTGAAATAATGAATACCACAACCAACGATTACATTTACCTTGTTGCTTTGTTCCAAAGAAACACAACTATAAAAGCTTAATAATGTCGAAATGGTTCTTGAATAAAAACTAACTGCATTGATATTAAAATTATAAGACTTTGTTATTGATCATACTTTATTATGTATATACATCTCATGATATATAAACCCGTGAAGGTCCGTGTCAGAATTTATCTTCAGTAACCCATGTTTGTCGTAAGAGGTAACTAACGGGATCTGGTGGTCAGGCTCGCTGACTTGGTTGACACATGTCGTCGGTTCCCAATTGCGCAGATCGATACTCAAACTCGTGATCACTGGATTGTCTGGTCCTGACTCGATTAGATACAGACCGCCGCCACCATATAGCTGAATATTGCTGAGTGCGGCGTAAAACTAAACTCACTCACTCACTCCCTCATGATATATAGGGGGTAGCCTAGTGGTTAAAGCGTTCGTTCGTCACGCCGAAGTCATGGGTTCGATTCCCCTCATGGCTACAATGTGGGAAAGCCCATTTCTGGTGTCCCCGCCTTGATATTGCTAAAAGCGGCGTAAAACTACACTCACTCACTCACGTTTGATGTATTACGTGAACAATTGACGCTAACATCTTGCAAGGGAAGCAGGAAAATGAGCATGGCAATTGTTTGATGTTTTGCACCAGACGCCTTGACACTCCAGGTACAGCAGGGCGGCCTGTAGATAATGAAGCCGAGACCAGGACAACCAATGATTGATAACATGAAGCGACATGTCTTTGGGATTTTAGCAATATTCCACAATCCGAGTCACAACATTTGATCCTCAATACAGCTACAAGAGGTGACGAAGGACTGTGTTTTACCCAGAATTCCACAAAAGTAAAACAATGTATTGTCCTAAGGTTAACACATATTTTGCTGACTGACAATAAACTATGTCACTATCAAAACTCTCAACTACTTAAAGTAGGGTGGCTCTTTGGTTAAGTGTTCGTCCATCACACTGAAGACCGGAGCTCGATTCTAAATATATGTTTACAATATGTGAAACCCTTTCCTACTGTTCCTAGTTGTGAAACACGCCATGCTGTTAGCAAGACTGACACACACTCACTCACTCAGTATCTGTGTTTGTGTAATGATCACAAACTACGTGATGTAGACCACCTGTAGACTCTAATATTTTGGGAAAGCTGTAGTCATTAGATGAATGACTCTGAGAATGCGGGGTTTCCGTCTATTTGAGGACATGGAAATAATCGGGATCAGTTAAAGAGATGTTTATGCTGCAGAAAGCCGGTTGCCTGGCATAATAAGGCGGTAAGAGTTATCTCCCTTACACCATAACGCGAACCGTGTACCTGAATGGTTCAGGTCAGTTTTATTATTGATTCGATTTTCCTACACTTTTTGTCCGACATCCATTGAAGCCGCGTAGGTAAGATTGCTTATTTCGAGAGATAATTATTAAGTAATTCATTCGGAAAGTGAGGGCTTGAATCTGGAATGTAACTCCACAAAATACAAGAATCTGACCTAACCCGAGAAAGTGTAATCATCATACAACACATCCTAAATGAGATCGTGTATTGAAATATTGTTTCTGTAATTTTCTCTTGATAAGGAATTGGACTAAAGCTTTTGTGCTTTTAAAGTAAGAACAAAATCATATACGCTAGCACTCGATATTAAGATACAAATGCTGACAGTTCTGTAGACAGATTTATGTTAGTTAGAGGGGTAAGGAGGTAGGGATGGTGGGGCGTCCTGGTTGGTTAAATTTGCTTAGAAGAGTTGCTTCCCTTGAATCATTCAACATAATAGGCTTGCCTGTGAATTGAAGTCACCCCCCACCCACCACCCCACCTCAATTCAAATGCATTATATTTCACAAACGCGGAAAGTGAGTTACTGAAAATGAGTATGGATTGCGTGAATTTGATTAATAGGTCTTCTTCATAGTGAGCTTGTTCCGTGCTAAAATGCTCACTTAGTAATAACCCGTGTACTTAAGTATACGGAAATAGTCGAGATCAGTAAGGGCGATTGACATTTGGGGGCATTCAGGTTGCCGGTAGCAGGTTGGATGGCATAATAAGACGGTACGAGTTGCTTCCCTTGCACCATACCGCGAAACGGTTACCTTCATGGTCCAGATTTAATATCGTTATAAATTCGATGGATTTTCGTACACCTTTTAACAAGTATCATTGATACCAAATCCATAATTTTTGCAGTAATAATTTTGTTCTACTCCCACTTAAGCATAACGAAATTTAAAAGGTCACCACTCGGGGATTAAACATAATCACAAATGGTGCCAGGCTTCTCCTCAGAAATGAGGCAATTACACTTGCAATCTAACACCAAAATGTTATTGCAGTCACCCACATAGATCTTGGTCAGTTATAGACATCAGCAGGCAGTGCAGTGAAAGTTATCAGCTTAGTAGGACTGTGAAAGTTGCATTACTCTACCATACAGCCTAACAGGTGCACATTTTAAGAGAACAAAACAAGAGGTTGGAACAAGTTCCTTCATATCACCAGGAATAGCAGGGTAGCCTGGGTTTCCTTCTAACATTACAAAAATATACCT